TCATTTTTCTTTTATCAAACTTAGATTCCTCTAAGTGATAGGGGTTCCTCTTGTTTCAAGAACAAATCCTTTTTTCAAAGGGGAGTTGCCCAAATATTTTTTCAGTAAGCTTCTACCATAAGGTTGCTTGTGGTTATGGTATGGTTCCCACAGACGGCGCCAATCTGTTGATCCCAAAAAGTGCGCCAACAGATGTCGGTCCCACCCGCGCTTGCGTGGGCGAATGTCCAACACGCTAAGACACATGGACGGTCTAAAACGAGCGGTTCAATGAGGCGTGGGAGTAGCCCAACGACGCGGGACGGTGACGTTCGGAATCCGGCGGGTTGTTCGTAATCCGATTATCCAATAATTACCAATCGGTACTCGTAAATGTATATGTGAAAGTGTATAAACTCGATTTGTGTATTGAAAATAACTGAGAGAGAGTTGAGTAAATGTAGTTTTTAGTATTAATTCTTGCATTAGCCTTTGACATTACACAATGGGAGTATTTATAGTAATAAATATGAAATGGGAGCCCTTGGATGAAGTGGCACGTGACCTCATCTCTTTAGTTCAAACATCTTGTCCTAGGTATGGGGCTTGACTTGCTAGCTTGCGGCGCATTTATTGCTTGTGTAGGGCCTTCATGCTAGTGACAAGACTTGACCTTTATGCTTATGAGAAACGTTCCATCAATCATTCGAATAAGATCTATGTAGGCGATCTCTTGGGAGAAGTGACCATGGAGAATGTTTCCTTGTGGTTCAGAGGCTCGCGCATCAGCTTCGGGGCTTCAGCCATTTGTCATGATACTTCCACTTGAGGGCCTCAGCTGCTCTCAACAGGTTCCAGCAGCCTGGTTTCGGTTCGTAGGTCTCGGTCAATGGGCCTCGGACAAAAAGGAGTCTCGACAGATGGACTTCGGCTCGAAGCAGTTCGGATGTAGCCCACCTCGGCATTGTGTGCCACCTCGGCAGGAATGCCACGTGGATCGCCATGAGTGGGCCATTGTCCCAGGTAGGTTGGCCAGGTGTGACAACACGCAACAACTCCCAAACAAGCTCTTAGAGTGGATAAGTGGGCTTTTAATTTATTGTATGTTTGACAACCTTTAATTTAATTTAAGTTTTACTATATGGTCATTTTCAAGCATATATTTACACAATAAAATATTTTACACGTAAATTCATAACTTTTTTTTATCATTTTTAACCACATTTTTCAAAAAGTATTATTAAAAACTATATTTTGAGTAGTGTTTTTTGGAGAATGTATTAAAAAATAGGGGAATTTATTTACGTGTAAAATATTCTATTAAGTGAATGCGTGGTTGAAAATTAGTATGAGAAATAAATTAAAATAAAGTAAATCAAATTAAAGACTATCAAACATGGGATTGATTGGTCAAACTTCAATTTCAATTATAAATTTTATGGAATTCACACTATTCACACACTTTTAATTCTAATTTCATTAATTTTATCTAAAGTCTTACGAAACAATCCCTTGTTTTGAAGAAAGAATATGCAAAAATTAATTGAGGGTTTGAGTTTTATTTCAGAAGCGATGTATGTTTTAAGATAAGTTGGTGAACAAAAGTGCTTTATTGTTGTGTCAAATAAAACTACTAAGCCTTATTTAGTTTGGCAAAAAAAATTCAAAATCTTAATAAATTTAAGGAGTTTGAAAAATTAATAATATAGAATTTTAGTAGATTTAATGAGTTTGAAATGATTTTATAGAATTTAAATTTTAGTTTCACAAACTATTAATATTACTCTTTATATTCAAAATAATATTATTTACGGTCATTCACTACCATAGTCATCCTACGTGGCACAGATGTGACGTTTAGTGATTTGATATATATGGTAAGAAAAAATTACCATATCAATATATTTGATCACAAACCGCCATATAGTTAATCATATAGAACGACTATCACAGTGAGCGATTATGAATATCATTGCTCTTATAATCATAGTTATCTTAAACTGGAAATTTATAAAATTAGAGTAACAATGAATGCTCAGTACTAACAAACATTTTAGTACGATTACATTTAAAATTCATATTTATTGTTTATTTGGTAGAGATTTTTATAGTTGATTTTTTAATCGTTAGAGATAAAGTAGATACTACTTATGAGGGGATAATTCAAAAATGACGATTTGAATAGTGAAATAACGGTCAAAAAATTGATTTTGATTGACTTAAAATCTGTATCAAACAAGCTCTTAAATGACGAATAATTGGATAGTTAAAAATAGTTTAGAACAGAATGGCAATGAGGTACGATGAGCTAGCACAACCTAATACCATCCGTGCTACATTGGGATTGTACGAGAGTCAGGGTGGGACGAAGATCAGAAAATCCTCATGCACTTTCTCATATAGTTAATTTTTTTAAAATATTAAATTTCAACGTACTATTTAGTTTGATAGAAATAAAAGTAAAATTTAAAAAATCGGTGTAGAGTTTTTTTGTTATCCCTAATATGGGGAGCTACCATTTTCCCCTCTTAAATTTGCTGTGAAATACTACATATTCTTTCATAATTAATTTTTTCACCTATGACAATTGTGTTGGTTTGACAATTAGAGAGTAAGGGCTCATTTAATTTATGTTTCGATTTTCAAATTTGAGTTTATTTTGAGTTTTATGTTTCGTGAATTTGTTTTCAAATTGCAAAAAATGCGTTTGATTTGAACTTTGGAAATTTTTTTATGATAATTTATCTTGTGGAATTTGATTATTTAGCAAAAATAGAATAACTTTATTTTAATATATTATCAGGTAATATAAATATATATATTAAAGTTGGTGAATCTCACAAAAAAAAAAAAAAAATCGTTGCAAAAGTAAATGAATAATTAATAATAAATTGAGTTCAAAATATAAAAAATAAAAATTAATGATGTGAACTGAGAATATTTTCATCTATGTTTATTTAAATATTTTTTAGATTTATGTAAATAATCCCTTATGAGATTGAACTATTTTTACTTTTATTTTTCTAAGTTTCAGTTTTTAGAAATTTTTATAAATTTATTTCATCAAATTTTATTTTGTTTTAAGAATTTTAAAACTTAATTTGTTAAGATTTTACATTGTAGATTTTAGAATTTTATTTCAAAACTTGTTTTCCATATTTTTAGTGTTTATAGAATTTTCATTGAAAACACATTAAACGTAAAAAAATGTGTTTTGAGTTTTAAGTTATAAATTTATCCTTATTTTCAAAAATGTAAAACAAAACACGTTTTCAGTGTTCGCAAAATTGAAAACAGTTTGAAAACAACAACGTACCCTAAGACTTGAAAAGCAATCTCGGGACTAATTCGGTGCCATGTTGATGGACCAGCAACTAGATTTAAGTAATTTAGGTTTTGAAATATATAAATTGTGTTTTGGGATCATATTTACAAAAAAAAAAGAAAAAGAAAAAGAAAAAAGATATAATCTAGTTTTCAAATTTCAATCAATTTTTAAACTTCAACTATAATAAAATCATTTTAGGTTAATAACTTAGTCTTTGTTTGAGATTCACTCTTAAAGAATGTGTGATTGAAAAGATGACAGTAAGAGAAGTAAGGTTGGAGTTGTTCTCCCAATTTCAGTCGTGTAAGGGAGTTTTAAGAGTTGGGATGAGACCCCTTTTACCTGTCCGTTTACATATTTGTTTAGCCTTTGTTTGAACCATATTTTTCATTCTACTAAAATGAAAAATGTGATCGTTGTAGTCTCAGTCGGGTCCCATACATGAAAGAAGAGGCCAACAATTACGGCTGAAAATAATTGATAACAGTACAATTTTTCATTTTTTGGCCAAATAATTTGGCTCAAACACAAACCCTGATGGGTAATTTAGAGGTCAAGTCTTGAGTTTGCTCATTAATGATCACCAGTTAAAGTCCCTTCAGAATTATTAAGGTGAATACCCGATTATAAACTTTAGGGTCCGATGAAATTAGTTGAGGTATGCGTAAGTTAGCTTAGATACCCACAATCATATACTAATAATAATAATAATAATTTGGCCCAAACGGACGGAGACTTAATTTGTAAATGTTTTTCAATTTTTTAAATGTGTTTAAATTATAAATAGAAAATAAAATAAAATAAAATAAATAATAATAATCAGGGAGGAGTATTAGGCGAGTAAAGAGGTTTGGTATTTTGTCATCCCTATTTGGGATTGGCCACAATGGTGGCGACAGCGAGTAGCATCAATGGAGGTAATCACGGTGTTGGAAGAAGGGATTATCAATGGTAATGGGCATCACAATCGGTGGCGGCGATGGTCAATGACGCATAAAGTTATGTTAACATGTACGCTACAAATGTAACACAATGATTTTGCAACAAAAAATTTGAATAACGATTTCCAAAATAATTTATTTTTATGGATTAATATAAAACTTGCATCAACATATATGTATACTAAAAGCCTGTTTGGTACGGATTAAAATCTAATTTTAATTTAAATCAAAATCAAACAATCAATATTAATCACATTTTTCGTGGATCCCATAAATTTTCAATCACACATTTCAAAAAACTTCTATCACAATTTGTTAAAAATCTAATTTTATTCCCAACAAAACAACCTCTAAATTACATGAAGATAAAAATATACCTTTCGATGTATTCACGAAAGGAGGAGAGCGAGGGATAAGAGAGGATAGATGGGTTGGCCTTGCACTTCTCTATGAATTGTTCCATAAGGGTAACCTTCGACGCATCCATTTCACCACTTAGCTTTTGCTACTGATTTTGCAATTTGATAAAATTAACAGTTGAATTGGATTTACTTATAGTGTAGCCTTTCCTACTTTCTAGTACCTTCTATTCTATTATAAATTTTTTTATTTTACTCTATTTATTCCTTTCTTCTAAAAATTGCATCCACCCGACCTTATCTTTAATGACTTTTTCGCTTTTATTTTTGATCTGCATCTCTTTAGTAATTGACCTTTCACGTTATAGCAAATTGTAATAACTCGATTTAATGGTCATCAATCATTATTTGGGGGAAGGAATAGAGTTTTGAATAATGATTTTTAGGAAAATATGTGGTTAAAAAATTGGGAAAAAAATTTAAATTAATGTGTAGAATATTTTATTATGTGAATGTTTGGTTGAAAATTAATATTAAAAAAAATTGAAAATAATTATTATCAAACAGCGGCTAAATATTGATAGGTAAATATCAGCAAAGAACCAAAATTGGAAATGTCTAGACAAAATTGTGGGTATTTCGATGACATCAGGAGAATCAACTTTTGCTGTGATGGAGAAAAAATCTTGTGCAGAAAACTTAGGTGCTGAGTAATTTAATTATTTATTATTATTATTTTTTACTATTCATAAATCTCTCGAAATCAACATAGCATTTGGTAAACAAAAGAAATTTATTGTCTTCCTCGTCATGTTAAATTGGAAAGTGAATGTTTCTCACTTATTCATTAATTTCTTTTCTTTTGTTTCTTTCTTTCTTTTTTGGTATTTTAGATTAGCCTTATACTGCAAAAGATAGTGATAATATCATAGTTATTCAAACCCAAGCCGATAGTCGAACCAAAAAAATCATCCGGTTACCTGATCAGTGATTCAATCGGTGACTTGGTGGTTGAATCGATGGGTCATTGTTAAATTGTAATTTTAATTAAAATATAATTTTTAAGTAAAAGAAAAATTATTTTGATAAATCTAAATATATATGTGTGACTCCTGGTATATGATCAAAGATCACAAATTTCCCAAATGATCGAGGAAATGAAATATAATCTTGGAAGCCAAGGTTTGAATCATTCTCGGTCCAAACCGATCGATCCGATTTTAATAACTGTAGGTTATACTTTGTGAATGACAATTATTTTTTATTTTTTTTAAATAATAAAGAAGTCTTGAATAGTTTATTATATTTCACAAAAATAATGAACATTTTCTTCCAAATTTTTACGTACAATTGATATTATAAAAGATTTTGAAGTTATTCTATTAGCAATACAAGTTTAGTGGAATGGTTGAAATTCTTGAAAACAAGTGATAAATATTATAGTACGAAGCATTAAGACAACTGCCAACAACATCCTTGTGGTATGTAATGAGTGTTGATTGTTAAAGGCCAAGGGATCAATTCCCCATATCATCAAATTTGGGTCATTTACAGTAAATCGTCGAGTTAATTCAAACCGGTTTACCGGTTCTTTATTAAAATCGATCGGTTCTTTCGGTCTTAGACCGATTTGAATGTTGAACAGTCCCCTCATGAGACTCGAACCGGACCATGGTTTGGTTCACCGGGTTTCCGTCCGGCCTGGATTTAATAACTATGGATAATATAAACTTTTACTTTTTATAAGAGATATTTTTAAGAAAGTTACTTTAATTATTTTTTTTTCTAAAAAAATTATAATCACACAAAATACATTCAAAAAATTATCATATCTTCGAAAATAGTAGGGACGTCAATTTAGCTGGTTGGCTCGAGACTCGTGCCAAAAGCCATTTTCGGCCCTTGACAAGCTGAGCCTTAAAGGAAAAAAAAATTAAGTGTAGTTGGCAGCTATAATAGCCTACGTTACATTGCAGGCATCTAATAAAATATAGGTAAGGTGTAGTTGCTTGTAAAACACGAGTATTTGCTGCCTATAATGCAGCTATCTGCCTTGTTAATAAAAATGTGAATTGGCTCGATTCGATTAAATAAGATCCAAGTCGAAAATTCAGGTTAAGTCTAAATTTTTTGGTCAAATAAAAACTTAGCTAGGCTCGGGCCAAGAAAAGCCCGACCCATTTTTACTTAAATTGAGCCCAAACCTCAAGTTTCAGCCAGTGAGCTGGCTCAGCTCGATTAAACTCGACTCGTCGACATCTATAAAAAAAAAATTATTGGTTTTAGAAAAACTTTTGATTTTTAGAAAAACCTGCGAAACAAACCTTACGTTCATTAACTTTTGTTTTGTAGGAATTTAGCTTAATAATAAATGGGAAATATTAACTTTACTTTTGTTGGAATTTAGCTTAGGTTCGTAAATGAGACACATCGTAAAGTTTAGGTCCTGCTTTTGCACTTTTGCTTTAACCTTTTGCTTTTTTGCTAAGGTCATTTAGCCTCCGTTTGGCCCCATTAAATTTTATTAAATTACATTTCATTTTTCTCTCTTCTATTTTTAGTCATACAATCTTTTATAAAATAATATTACACGTAAATCGAAAAATTTTGATTCTTTTTCAACCACTCATTTTTCAAAAAAATACTATTCCACTCATTTTCATTTTCAAAAAATGGTGGCCAAACGAGGGCTTAGCATAGGTTCAAGTCTCATTCTTTAAAAATTTAAATCTTTTAAAATTATTTTTATCGATATATTATTATTTCAATAAAATAGTTTTATACATAAATTCAAAACTTAGACCTACTTTTTAATGATATATTTTTCAAAAAAATCACTATTATAAAACTCATATTTCTCAAAAATAAATGGCTCAAACAGAGCCTAGTTACTGATACTCACATTAAAAATTTTGCAATAAATTAATGTTGCAAAGCAATTTGAAAAAAATTGTAAATATTTGTTCACCATAAACAATTTTTCAATTGGATGAATATTTGGGACAGTTTTGTTTGATTTGGCTTCGGGCGAAAGAATGATTTAGCCCTTACTTGTTTTTCATTCTTTTCTCATTAAAATAAAGAATATGACCGTCATTCATTACATCAAGTCACCAAATTTGAATTTTTATTTCTTGTATATAGTCTGTAACGACTATATTTTTCATTCTCATTCTTCTAAAAATGATAAACAAACGGGGACTTAATTTAAATTTATCAAAGGAGACGATGTATCTTTAAAAAAAAAAAAAACCGCTAAATCAGATTATTTACATCCCTATTTCTACCCACAAAGTCACCAATATGATCAAAGTAAGTTATTTGTCCAATTGACCGGTAGAATAGCTTTATTCACTAGTCATGAACTAAAATTAAATTATAAATCATAAAGTATCTTTTGTATACAAATTCTTGATATTCATTTTCATAAAACTTACGTGTATAACCTCATGTCCTTGCTAATTTGATCAATTATATTAACTATATTTTATGATGAGGAATAGACAGATTATATTTATTTACATTACTAACAAGGAAATATAATGTAAAAATGGTAAAGAAACAGAAGGGAGCTTTATCAGACGATCAAAGGGTAAATTGTCAGTTTTGGCTCAAATTTCACTTGATTAATTCTTGTAATATATTCTACAATCTTGTCGATTTGTTATTTCTGTTTGTTTTCTATCTTTATTTTCCCTGACATTTTACCATACAACTAAAAGATAATGTACAAAAACAGACATACATCAATAATCATGTAATCATACAAGGTGGAATGGATAATTAAATTTAACAAAAAGTCTCGATATGTTACCAATCCAGAATAATTTTACACAATAAATTACCATTCATACAAATAAATGTAACAAGCATATATTACTAATCTATCTAATCCATCCCACCAGGGGCTGTTTATTACCGTAGAAAAATGGGCTCCAATATAGTTATCTAATGAAACATCACAATGGCCGAAAGCAAGAATAAGCTTGGAACTCCCACAGATGAAATACTTTTGCCCGCACCATTGTTATCATTGCCACCGATCACCCCTGCCAAAAATATATCCAAAATATAAAAAATAGCCAAAAAGTTTTTGGGCGACAACACGAGAGGGTATTTGTGATATTTCGACATGAGGCACGTATTATTTCATTTTTAACAATAACGACATGTTCTTCGACCATTGCATTATAATTCAAGTTGACACAACATGGATAAATTAGATTATCTGTTCATCATTCTTTTTTAAAATCCGATTTCAATCAAGTAGATAGATTGGACATAAATGTGCAAAATGTCCAATCTAATTTGAAACATAAATGTGAAAATTGTCTTGAAATCAATAGAGTCCTAAATGTGAAAATCAATTGGTTGCAAAGTATGCATTTCAAATCGTGAACTAACCAAGTTTCACTAACTCAATCGTGTCAAAAAAATGTTAACACATCCAGAAAAGATTAGATAACACTAAATCCTAATTTAGAGATTGGAAGGAGGTAAATGGAGATTGAGAAGTTGTAAATATTATTTTTAGTATGTTCAAATAATCAATTTCAATTAAAAATAACAAAAATATTTATTGATATTTTTTTGAAAAATATATCATTAAAAAGTAGGTCTAAATTTTAAGTTTTGAATTTACGTTTAAAATTATTTTATTGAAATAATTTTCTTACGTCAAGGCGGTGAACCAAAATTGGTCAAGAAGTGGACAAATACAAATACCAGTCAACATTGGAGGGCATCGAAACGCGTACGTCGACCGATTAACCAAAATCATATTAATAATTTTTATTTTTTTAAGATAGTTAATCGTTGTTTAAAAAAAAAAAAACTTTAAATTCAAATTCCTGAACTAGATTATTTAATGAAAAATAACTGAATAATGTAATTATATATATTATTAATGAATTATTAAATCAATAATTGAGCGTAGACGAGGAAGTTACCTGGGGTTGGCACAACAGACGAAGTTGGAGACAAAGCTGTACAAGATTTAAACCAAAACAAAAATTAGCTAATGCGATTTCACTTAAAAGACGCGTTTGATCCATAAAATTGAAAAGAAAAATATATCGATAAAAAGATTTAAAATTTACTTTTTCTAGTTCTAGCGTTCCAAATAAGGCTTAACAATTAAGAAAAGTATTTTCTCCCCTTACCCAATACACCCCACTAAAAAAGTTTTAATTTAAAAAAAAAAAAAAACAAAACAAAAAGTCGCACAAAATTCACTAAATCAGATCTGGAGATCTAGATCGAACTTCGAAACCCAGTACCTTTGCATCTGCTGGTATCAGCGGAGAGATTACAGTGTTTCGGCAACTCGAGAGCTTGAGTCATATTAATACCAGGCACTAGGTTTGGATTGTTGTAAAGGTTACACAGGCAACGTAGTTGAGTAGACACCACTTCTCTGATTGCGTTACAGCATGCGGGTGCTGGATTTGTGGAGTTTAAGTACTCTGCACATGGGATTAAATTTGCAGCACAATCTGCCTGCCCCTCCGCCGTTCTGGTGGTGATCACTAGCAGCGCCACCGCCACCATGAACGCCGCCTTGGTAAAAGCTGATTTGGTGGAGGAAGTCATTTTCCGATCTGGGTCTTTTACTACTATTGGTCGGGGTCAGATATCTCTGGTCTTGTTTGTTAATGATGTTCTTTTGCTTATTATGTATATTTATAAGCCGAGTTTATTTCAGTAACGGTCCTTGAAGTTCAAGATAATATTTGATTTAGTCATTAAAGTATATTTGTGACTCATTAGTTAAAAATGAAGTTAATTATTTGATATTGGACAACGTGGAATGACTTGGAATTTTGTTGGACCGTCCCTATTTGTCCATCATCATTTCAATTTTTTTATTTTATAAATTTATTTTCAATCACATATTCTCACAATAAAATATTTTACACGTGAATATAATTTTTTTTTTACTTTTTAACCATACAATATTTTAAAACTCATTCTTACTGAATAATCATAGATAAACAAGGAATAATGAAATCTAATCATTAATATTACTAAAAATAATTATTAGTCAATGAATAAAATTGATTAAGATAATACCATAATTATGTGTGAGAATGCGATGATAATTAAATAATTTGTGACACATTGGGCTGGCACTTGGATTCTTAACTAATTTTTATTATGTCTTTCAAGAAATCATGTAATTGACAAATAAAAATATTGATTCAATCCAAAGAAAAGTAAAAAATATAGTTGGTACCAATTCTCCTCCTTAGTCGTTGCCTCCCCCTTTTTTCTTCTTCTTCTTCTTCATGCTTTCCTAACTTTTAAAGCTACTTTTTCTAAAAGAGGTTTTCTTTATTATAATTTGTTTGGTGTCCGTTATTTCAACCAAAAAACAAAAAAAGTGTTTTGAGTAGTACTTGTAGGAGAATACATGGTTAAAAGTAGGAAAAATATTGAATTTACAATCAGAATATTTTATTTGTGAATATTTAGTTGAAAATAATCATGTAATAAAAAAAGTTTTTATCAATTACTGCTTAATAGTTATATTTGAATATTTCCGGCCGCAATTAATAAGAGTTATGGTTTGACAATTCAAGTACAGCGAAAATTTGTGTAGAAGGTATAAATTTCAACTCATACATACAGGTTGAAGACCTAATACTATTCCTCCATAATATTATTTGAGGGAGTGCTTCGACTTTCGTTTTTCTAGTTTAAAATTGAAGAATAATAAATATAATTCTTGTTACGCCTATGAATTATCACTCCATATTGGGCCACCTTATTGGACCTGAGCTAGGCCCATTAGTGTTGGGCGCCTAGCCGAGGCGCCACCGAGGCCATAAAAGCCTAGCCGAAGTGCCTATCACTTTACTCACCTCGTACTGGGCTCGAACTTAGGCCCATTAACCCGCCTTATCCCATTTCACATCATTTCTCTACATATATGGATTCAATTCACAAGTTAAGGTTTCGAGGGGACGAAACTAGGGTGCCTGTTGGAGCCATTTTTGGAGGTCAACAGATTTTTGTTATGAGCCTCGGAACCACTCCGACCCCCCGAAGCCTCTCCGAAGTGATACATGTAGATTCCTGCCACTGATCTGCCGAAGTGTCCCGTCTCCGAGGTCGGGTTCAAGTGGCTTGAACCCCCGTTAGAAGATTCGCTGC